AGGGGTGGTGGAAGGTCCAGCCCAGGGCCCGAAAAAAATAAGAAACCGGTGGCGGAATTTCTTTTTGGGGCCGAGCCAATGCCCGAAAAAGTTTTTGGAGGGGAATCTCCAACTTCAAACTCCCACTTCGAATTTGAAGTTCGACGTTCCCCGGCAGGTACTCGGAGTCCGCCCACGTCCAGCCGAACCCCCCCGGCACTGCCAAACGCAGCCACCTTTCACCATTGCAGGCTTCGACCGTCGTCACCATCTTCGCACCCGTCTTCGAGTTTGCCCTGACCATCTTCCCCGTCGTAGTGTTTTGGCAACAGGCAGCGACATTGACCAGGGACAGGCAGAGGCAGCAGCTGCAGAGGCAGGCAGCGATAGTGGGCAGCAGGAGCGGCAGGAGGTAGCAGGGGGAGCGTGTGTGGACATCAGGTGGGTGACGACTGCCCCCCCCCTCTCTCTCTCTCACTCTCTCTCTCTCAGTCTCCCTCCCCTCCTCCCCTCCTCTCCTCGTTGTCCTCGTACTGCTTCCTCCTCGTCACGGTTCTCCTCCTCGTCATCCCTCCCCCGCCATTGTTCTCTCTCATCCAAGGACCTTCGCCATAGTTCTTCTCCTCCCCCTCTCTCCTTTATCTCCGTTCTCGTCCCCCTCCTCCCTCCCTTGTTATTCTTCTCCCCCCCTCCTTTTCTCCTCTCTTCCTCCTTCCTCAACGCTCTCCTCGTCCTCATCCCCACTTCGTCGTCCTCGTCCTCCTTATTTGTAGTTCTACTCCTCCCTCGTCGTCGTTATCCTCCGTTGTAGTCGCTCTCCGAGATCGTTCTTCCAATTCTGGTTTCCTGCAACTTTCCTTTGGATTCCTTCCTCGTCTACCCGCCATTTCCCTCCCCTCCTCGTGACCCGGACAGGAGAACGATGACGAAGTCGGGAGGAGGAGGAGATCAAGGACGAAGGAGGGAGGAGGGGGATGCCGATGACGATGGAAGGGTCCTCCTCCTCCCTCCTCCGCCGTCTCTCTTCCTCCTCCCGACTTCAACATCATTCACTTCACTCCCTTCCATCATCGGCCTCCTCCTCCTCCTCCTCCTCCTCTTCCCAACTTCATCATCGTTCTCCTCCTCCCTCAGTCATCATTCTCCTCCTCGTTCTCTCCCCTTTGTCCTCGTCGTTCTCCATCTCCTGCTCTCTATTTTGTCGGTGTTCTCCTCCGTTGTTCTCCTCTGTGGTCATAGTTGTCATCCTCTCTCTTTCGTCGTAGTTGTCCTCCTCTCTCCTTTGTCATAGTTGTCCTCACGTTCCCTTCATTCCTACTTTTTCTTTTTCCTTTTTTCATGACTCCAGCCGCCCTCCCGTCGGCATTCCTCCAACTGCCACCTGTCATCATCGTCGTCCTCCCCCTCCCTCCGATATTGTAGTCCTCCCCCTTGACGTGGCACTACCATCCTCCCAGGACTTGACGCTCAAGACATCCCCCCTCTTCCATGTGCCACCACGATCATCCATCTCTTCCCCGAATTCCCCGCTTCTCCACGTGGCACTACTATCCTCCATCTCTTCCCCCCTCCTCCACATGGCACTACCATCCTCCATCCCTCGTCTCTCCATATTCCCGCCCGCCATTTTGTTTTTTCCTTCGGTCAAATCAGTCTGCCTTGCCGCCAGTTCACCTCCTCGTCCCTCCATCATTTGTGTTTTGTTTTCTTTTTTTTTTTCAGGAGTCGTCATTCCTTGGTAGTATGTTTGTCCTTGAGTACGCTTGGTTGTTTTAAGTCTGGTGTTTGCAGTTCAACCCATGTCACAACCACCCATCTCGGTCAAAAGTTTGCGGTTAAGAGTTTGCAGTTGAATAGTTTGTGGTTAAAGAGTTCGAGGTCACGTGTGTGTTGTTTGCTGTTCCGCCCGTTTCCAAACAATGCCCAGATCGAGGGTTTGAATCTTCGTAGATAGAACAGACATACACATTACCTCATCCATACTCTACACTCCTGATAAGATAGCCAGGGGCATACATACATCTGCACAACCTGAAAGATGTGTGCCTCTGACAAACTGGAAAAGCCTAAAAGGGCATGAGAAGAGAAGGAGAAAGTCAGAGAAACCCAACAGTAAGACAAAAGAAAAGAGAGAGAAAGACAGCTGATCTGGTAAACAGGTCCATGGACAAAAAAAAAAAAAGAAACCCGTCTCTATTTTTCACTCAGTCACTATATATCGTATATGATATGATTGCTGAATGAGAGCGAGGGAACTTAAAGAACACTACCGCTTTCATGTGTACACTGATTTCAAATGCCTACTAGGTGAGAGACGGTTAACGGGGGCCCAAATATTCGCCGTTTTCGTTGGCAATTGCGGTGTGAATTTCATCAAAAAAATTAAAAACAAACGATATGAGACCATAGTGCAAACATCAAAAAAGGAAACAAGCAAAAAAAAACGAAAAAAAAAAAAAAAAAAACACTATGAAACCCTAACACAAAGACACTGTCCGAGCCAAAATGAAGCGTCCAAAGAATTCAACAAAATGCCAACTTTTTCATTATTGATCCAAACATGTCAAAACTGCACACATGATGTACCCTAGAGCACATATATATCACACAAAAAGAAAAACAAGAAAAAAAGCAAAAAATCAGCACAATATGACAGCTTCAGTGCAATTCGGTGCAAAATTCGTCGAAAATAACACCCCTGGTTAACCACGTGTGGATCCCAGGAGAATCTGTATGCTTCCATAACCAGCAAACAAAGGTGAGGGCACCGACCCATAACCAGAAGACAAAATCTGGAATGCGGATAAGCAAGTACAAAAGTCCAGCAGCACTTGGACGTCGACAGATTACGTTTCGCACTCAATGTGGAAGCGCTGCTGCGGTCTTGTGCGTTGGAGTGGCAACTGAGCAAGCGAGAGTGAGTGCAGGGCAGAGCAGCCAACGGCACAGGGCACCATAGCCATAGCTGTAGAATAAAGAGAGAGAGAGAGAGAGAGAGACACATTCTGAGGAACGAATGAGAACTGTGAAAATGAGCTGCCACAAGAGAGAGAGAGAGAGAGAGAGAGAGAGAGAGAGATTCTGAGAGACAAATGAGAACTGTGAAAGTGAGAGCTGCCACAAGAGAGAGAGAGAGAGACGTATGGGAGAGGAAGGAGAGAGAGACTTACCTGCATCTCAAGTTAGGCGGCCATAGCCACCAGAGTGAAGAAGGCAACTAAGTCTGGTGTTGGCTACGGAGACTATTTTTGGATTTCGTATCTCCTGCGTGTCTCATGTGTGTGCGGTGTTTTGAGACTTGTGTCCGATTGTTCCGTGCATGGTGGTCACATTGCAGAATCCTTATCTCCGCAATGAAAAGTCCCTATGATTAGCACAAAGGATAGATGATAGAACAATAGAAGAGTACTTTTGAGGCATGGGCAACCAATTAAAATGTTTGTGCTCTCCTCCTGCTCCTGAACATCGAGTTGGGCGGCCATAGCCACAAGAGAGACTTGGGTGTTCAAGCTAAGGGTGCCGGCTCGATTCCGTGTGTGCACAGATGGACATAAGGTCGGGAAGTGCTGATCCATAACCTTCCTCACTGTGTCGTGAGCCGCCAAAGTCATTCTCGTCTGTTTTCTTTCCCTTCCAAATAGCGAACCATCCCCGAAGTCCTCTCTTTCCCCAAAGTCCTCTCTTTCGCCAAAGTCCTCTCTTTCGAGTGGGAAGTCCTCTCTTTCGCCGAAGTCCTCTCTTTCCAGTGACGGGTCATGGTTGCCCAGCTCAGGATCTGTATTTGAAGCTGCAGATCGAAGTTCTAGAGTGACGGGTCATGGTTGCCCAGCTCAGGATCTGTATTTGAAGCTGCAGATCGAAGTTCTAGTGAGAAAAAAGTTCTAGTGAGAAAGAAGTTGTAGTGAGAAAAACAATTAGACCAACACTACGCTATCTTCCCAGACATCCATTAAAATTGGAACGACACTGCGAAGATTAGCGTGGGCCCTGACACGCATGAATCAAGAAGTGGTCCAAATTATTACTAGTATTAAAAAAAAAAAAAAAAAAAAAAAAAAAAGAGAAGATACCATTCTGAAAAGGGGGAGGGGGAAATGGAATCTCCATGAATGGAAGACTACAACATTACACGATGGACGAACAAGAAATCCCAAGAAAACGAGTACAGACGGCGACAAGCAGTGAGGTAGAGGGTAAAGAGAGTTGCGATCGTCAGAAGGCAATCAATAGACAAAGACCTGATAGGCAGAGACTTTGGGTCGATCCAGTCCTTTCGATGGTATGAACACAAAGGCTGCTCTGAAGTGGCAATCAGATATTTGTCATCCCCTTCACCAGTGACCTGCCACAGATTCAGCCACACGAATTTGACCGGCAATCAGATACAGATTCATCGACACAAATTTGACCGGCAAACTTCTTCAGCAATAAGATAAAACCACGTCTGTCACAGTTTTGTTTTAGACGTAAGTAAACAACAAGAAAGATCGCAAAAGAAGACACAGACAGTCATTTCATACCCAAATACCCAACAAGGTCACCTTCACGAACATACCATCGGTATTTGGCCCCTGCTTGCCGGTCGAATTCAGAGAAGATTAGCATCGGTTTTTGAAACCGTGTACACAAGGCCAAGCAAAATAAAAAAAGAACAGTGGAAGAAGTAGATCCCCACAGTCCTCCGGGGACATCATTAAAAAGGATTGGAACGAGATACAGAGAAAAGTAGCATGGCCCCTGCTTGAGGATGACAGGCATAAGTCGAGAAATGGTCCAAACTAAAAGAGAGGACGACGAGGAGGACGACGACGGCAACGACGATGACGAGAAGAAGAAGAAGAAGAAGAAGAAGAAGAAGACCCGTGCATAGCTGCACAATCGATGGGAGAGTGCAAGTGTTGCAAGCTCTCTTTCTCCTTGGTTTTGTTTTTTAGAATCAGACGTCCGTGCAAAGGCAGACAAGCAATTCAAATGGGAGAAAGAGATCACCACACGGCTGCACAACTTATGAGCAAGCTCAAGTACTGAAATCTCTCTTTTAAACAAAAAATAAAAAATAAAAACTCTTTTTTTTTGGAAGTTTTTCTTTCGTGTCTGTTTCTTGAAGTCAGATCCAAGTGCAAAGGCAGACGAGGAATTTCACTAGAAAGTGGCTGCACAGTCTGAACGAGAACACAATTATGGGAAATCTCTCTTTCCGCTTGAGACTAGAGTAAGAATAAAACGGTCGCGACATCAACTCTCCAAACTTCAAAAACAGAAAACTTGACAAGGTAAGGGCCATGTATGACCATGGGAAATATCGAAGTTTTTAAAATTCAGCAAATGCCAAAAAACAATTGTATGCTATGTGTTCAGACACTGAAAAGGAGGGTATGCCTGTGCTGTGCGAATATCGCCAACCTTTGATTTTTATGATTTTTATATTCTTTTGGTTTTGTTTTTTAATTATTATTCATTCATCGCCAACCTCCAATATACCTTATAGAGCTCTTCATCAAACTGTTCCAGCTGTGCGCATTCCGACATGACCTCTTTGCGCATGAAGAAGGGCGTTTGAAGTGGCAAATAACTCCTCTTGCCAAGAAACGCTAGGCCAAAGTTGATTAGAGCTTGATTCAGCAGCACACCGTATCCTTTCAGGTAGTAGGCTCTCCCACCCGCAACAGCAGCCCCTGCTCATTTAATATCCAAAAAAAAGAAAAAGGGAAAAAAAAAAAAGGACAACAAAGAAGTCAGTGAAAACGTCCAACAAGCGGTGTACTTGGAATCTGCCTGGCGACTGTTAAGCACACGCCAAGCTGAGAAACCAATCATTCCCACACAGGTTATCCATTGAGAAAAAGGGGGAGGGGCACACACGCACACGCACACACACACACACACACACACACACACACACAGGTACTCAGAAGTAGATCTTCAAATCAAATAAAAAAAAACACAAGCATGTGGAAGCTTCACCATCACACAGTCGGTTAATTAATTCGAAGTAAGCTTCACCATAGCAAAGAAGGGGTGAAATATGTAATACATTTGACATAGAAGCAAAGCAAATCCTCACGATTAATTGATTAATTAAGTAGCTCCGGAAGAAAACAGATTCAGAAGTGTACGGTCGGGATTTTTCCGACCGCTCACGATGCAGAGGAGGAAGGTTTGCTGCAGATTTGCAACAGGGGAGGCAGGGGCATATATCCAGTAAAAGAGCGAACAAGGGAGGCAAGTTCCACTGCAGCAGAGGGCTATCTGGTGTATCATCATGTACAAGAGACTACCGTCTTCCTCCGATTACAACATAGGGTTAGGCTACCAGAGTGGCCCGGGGCAAGTTGCCCGGTCGGGCAAAAATAGTAATATAATATAATAATTTCAAAAATAATAAAATTATTTTATTTTATTTATTTTATTTCAAATTTGGTAAAGAATTTCGATGTGGCCCTGAGGCAAAAGTTGTTCAGTTTATTTTTGTGCATCACATAGTTTTCTTTTCAGATTTTTTTTGTTTCTTCTTTCGCTGGGCCCTCCACTGTTCCTCGCACAGCCGGGCCGCCCAGTCAAACAAGGTGACTTGGGCAGCCCGGCTGGTAGCCCATACGTACAACCATTATTGCTGTATCTAGACCCAAGTCACCTTGTTCAACTTTGAGTCTAGATACAGCAACAATGACCGTTACGTGATACAGCAATAATGACTGTTCCGTTGTATTCGGGTGGAGAAGGTAGTTGTCGGCTAGTAGAGGTGCAGCCTGAGTCCATAGGCCAGGCAAAGATTATCTTCAACATCTCTGATAATCGCCCGTCTGCCAGTCGATCAACAATGGCCTTTTTTTTTTCTTAACAAAACTGAAAGAGAATCTCTGTCAGAGATTCGGGAGATTAAAGCACCAGAAAGGTGAAGGTCAGGGTGCATAGGACTGGCAAATGGACTTCAAAAAGTTAAAGAATGCAAATTCATTTCATTTATTTCTTAATTTTTAATTTGGACCATTCTTCGATTTAGGCGTGTCATCCTTGCGCAGGGGCCGTCCTGATCTTCTTCCTCTGTATCGTTCCACTTTTAATGGATGTCCCAAAGGACTGCGGAATGCAACCCCAGACTCGATGAGCATACATTTTTTTTCTTCGACAGCCTAAACTCTGCGAGGAACGAGCCCTCACGGGGACCCTATCAGACATACACATGTTCTGGGCAGAGGCCCCCAGCAAGCTGAGTGCCTGCACTAAGTGAAGGCGGGCCTGAATATTCATCAGAGGCCAAAATTCGAAATTTTTCATATGTGGGTATTCAGGCTCTTGCAGCACGCCAGTTGGTTGAGTGGACGCGTGAGCCTCACTAAGCTGCGTCGTCGTGCAGTTGGCCCAGGCCTTGGCAGTTGTGCCTGGGCACATATACACAAAGCAGGGCCGATACATCTTGAAGTGGCCACAGCCCTATGCGAAAGCAGGACTGTCGACGTACCTACCCCTGGGTCCTGCACAAATGCAGCAAACGGCCCAAGTCTGGAGACTGAGGCCGTGCCCAACTGTAAAGGGCCCAGGCCCTCAACTGTAGTCTCGGGTCTGGGCGCAGGTACTGGGTCCCAACAGGAAGCTACTGGAAGCTTCCAGCCAGGCCACACGCAGCAACGCAGGGGCTGCCACTTCCATACAGGAAGAAGAGCAGCCAGGGCCAGGGTATTCTGGCCCGCGTAGGCAATGCGGTCACGCTGCTGCGTGAAAGGCGCGTGCTGCGTTGAGGCCAGAGCGCGTGCGGGCGCGTGAATGGTGAGGTGGGGCGCTGCAGGGCAGCGGAGCGCTAGCAGCCATAGCCGGGCTACGGGGCGTTTGGGGGTAAGAGGACGATCAGTGGTCTTCAGGAAGGAGGCGAGTGTGGGTGGACAGGGTCTGATGAGGGGAAGCAAGATACGTACCTGGTACATGTAAGAGGTCGGCTATAGTGTTGACGTCATGTACATTGGTCTCCGAGAGTCGAAGTGAGCCTGTTGCGAGAATGCTGATGTAGGTGGGATAGTCAGGTAATGTAGAGAGGAGCGACTTTGGATACTGTGTTGGTGTGGCCTACGGGCTTGAACATTGGCTCATTACTTCATTGTATTGCTCTATATGGATGGTTTCTCGGTGCATTTCTGCTCTCTGCTTGTACACGACTACCTGGACATCTGTGTGATTT